ACATAACAATCATAGAGTAATATGTTTGTGATAAAATTAAAAAACAGATTGATTCTAGGTGTGTAACATTGCAATTAAAAAAAATCCTTACTAAATACTTAGGAGTGAATGGATTAACCACTCAGAAAAGCATTTCTCAGTAGCTTATTTAACCATTCAGTTAAGTGTTTGAGTTCTGGACAATGCCAAGAGGTTTACATTGACAATGATTCTATGTAATAAGATCCATAGAAATACTGTATAGATAATTTAGGAGTCACTAATAAACTAATGTACAAAATCTTGATTTTTAGTTGAATCTCCATAACTCAAAATTTAACTCAAAGTCTAAAATTTTTTCCCCCAAGCAATTCAAGTCAACCAGGTTCCATTGTATGATTGAAAGATTTAACTGTAATTAAAAGAATTTACTTCATTTAATGTTAAAACTTATGACTTAAATCTTGTCTTTTTTCCTAAAATAATTAGTTTCAGAAAAGAATACAAACTTTAAAAATCACATGAAAAGACAATCAAGAATATAATAATAATAATTACCATCTTATTGTGCAGTTTGAATTAAATTTTCATTAATAGTATGAAAATCTCTACTTAAAAACAGAATATTTATATAATTAAAAAATAATTATTTCTAGAAATATTAAAATAATTTAACAATAAGCATTGTACTAATTGTTTACAGGCAATTTTTCAACAAGTAGTTTACATATATGATTAGTTTCTGCTCAAATAGATGCAAATTGTTTCTAACGTGTCAATTTCTAAATTAATTTCATCTCTATTACTTTGAAATATACAATAATGGTCATAAAAAATTTTATGTATTTGTACAGAATTTTGAGTGTTGAAAAATTTGTACTAGAGTAAAAAGTAAACTGAACTTTTAATGCTACATAGCAATGATTATAATTGTTATAATTGTGAGCAAATGCACTTTCAAGCATTTTCTTAGACATATCAACACTTGTTAAAACACATGATAGATGCCTACATTTAAATGGATTGGAACACAAAACTGTCAAAGTACATAATAAGTAGTGTATGCTATTGAAATTCTGAATTTATGCATCACAAGCAACAAATCAACATTAAATTTTGCACCAAACTTACAAAGGGAGGCTCTGAATTAGTTTCAATGAGTTTGATATATATTGTAATCAGAGCCATAACTAGGCAGGTGCAACAGGTGCACCCGCACAGGGCCCACTTGGAAGGGGGCCCAAACTGCTGTTCACAAAAAATTATATTTTTAAATTTTAAATTTTCCGCCTTTCTACAGCGCGGTTTGGTGATTACATTTCGCCTTACTTAGACCCTAGATGTCTGCTCACCAGTGTTCCCAACTGTGGCGACTTTTAGAGGGACGTAGTGAGGTAGCGGAGACCGCAGACAAATCAGGCAAAAGTAGCGACTTTTGATATTTTTTAATTTATTTTTTGAGAAATTTAATGTTTATAGTTTTCAAATTTACAGATTTTTCTCTACTTTATAGAGCTTTCTGGCAACTACTAATATTATTACGATATACAAAACTGTATTTCTAGATTTTTCTACAGTGTGCAGAGCTAGAAATCTGTAAAGGTAACATTTTGTAACAAAAATAAATCTGCCCGAGGATTTTTTTAAAATTACTAAATTGAAAACGGTAACTCCCGAATAAAATCTTAGTCTCGAGGTTGTAAAAGGCGTGCAGAAATTCTGACATCATTTTTTGCTTTATAGTGGTACGCATATGTGGTGTATACCTGAACGGCGGATTAAGCGGTAAGCGAACTATGCGGGCGCGTAGGGCCCCGAAGGGGCTCCCGCAGTCTTTAAAATGCTACTGAAAAAAGGGATTGCGAAAACGCAGAAGATAGAAATAGTCCAAAAAAACGCTTCGATATATATAGATACATGGAAGTAATAAATGATATAGCTTTATGGCCAACAATATTAACAGATGCTATTATTGATCATATTCTTAAAACAAACCAAAAAGTATAGAAAAGGGATTTCTTAATAAACGAAAAAAAAGAGTTAAGATAATGGAAATAGATAAAACACCAGATGAAGGAAGTAACTTGACACCCGAAAAATTATTTAAAATACAAATTTACAGTGTTCTTGACACTCTATTGTGTCAAATAGATTGGCGTTATGAAAAAATGAAAACTATCTGTGACGATTTTTGCTTTCGCTGTGGCTGGTCTTTACAATGCATGAGTTTGCTGATTTAAAAAATTCGGCTGCAGATCTCGCTATTAAATATAGCAAAGATTTAAAAAAGTACGAATTCACAAGTGAAATTGAAAGTTTTAATTTTGAAGTAACGACTCTTATACAAAATATAGAAACTGCATCTCCGCTTAATATTCTACAGGCTCTTCATGATTTTGGTTTAATTGAGTCTTACCCAAATATCAATGTCGCTCTTCGAATATTTCTAACTCTTCCCGTTTCTATTGCTTCGTGCGAGAGAAGTTTTAGCAAGTTAAACTTAATAAAAAATTATTTAAGATCAACTATCGAACAAGAACGATTATCCAATATTTCTATTATTTCAATAGAATACAATATCGTTAAAAATATTAATTATGATGGTGTAATTAATGAATTTGCTGAAATGAAAGCCAGAAAAATTCAATTAAAATAAATCTTATTAAAAATCTATTGTAATGTATTTGTTTTATTATTTTCCCAAAGCCAAATAAATTAAGGGGCCTAAATGCAAATTCTTGCACAGGGCACAGGAATGGCTAGTTACGGCTCTGATTGTAATATTATCCTACTATAAACCAATAATGAAGCCACTCAACACAACTTTTGAGCATTCATGAAAAAAAAAAAAGGGTTTAAAGTTCATATTTGTTATAACCATGTCTCATATTATATATATATATATCTATACATATATATATATATATAGGCTATTACTCATACCATGAAACCAACATACATAAGGATTATATAATACTAACAGAATGGTTGTACTTGCAACAAAGATGCCATGTATAGTTTGTAATATTTCTATTATGTGTGATTTTTACCACAGATGTGGCAGCATTTTTCTTTATCAGGTATTCTTTGTGTATCCACTACAGATCAAGTTACAACTGTTCTATTGTTCTTTTTAGTTTGTCTGTCAAATTGTGTACAAAAAGGCATAGATTAAGATGCCCAGAAATATTATGTAATCGAGTCAATAGCCAGTTTATAGTTAGAGTTTAGCTAATTGAATTTATATATAAAGTTAATTAACTATATATATATATATATATAATCTAGTTGGTATTCCATTATTTTTATGCACACATTTACAACAAATACAATGTAAAAATAAAATCTTTGTACAACCAAAAAATTATTTAAATACATAATTTTCAGTGAAACTAACACCTATATGTGATTTCCAGCAAATAACTGTAATGTTCTAATGTTTTTGATCAAAATATGGAGGTCCTCATCAGGAAATAAAACAAAAAACAAAAAATTCTATCATTCAATGGAGAATATAGTTACATTTAAAATAGATTCCAAATATTCAAAATAATGTTCGATAGATGTTGTGACACACAGTTTAAGGCATAAAAATAAATGAAAGACTTTTAATGGTTCAATTCTTTACATGGCATGATATTAAATAAGAAAATTAAAAACATTAAATTCTGTGTGAATCTATAAAATATTTCCAGTACATTTGTACCGTTCCAGTTTTTAAGTGTGCTATTATTTACATAATTTTCTTGTTAAAAATATGTTCCATTTAAATACAAATTTTTAAAAAAAATTTAAACCTGCACACACATACATACCAAGATTAGTAATTAGTGATCTTATGCCCTAGGCTATACCTACTCTACAATACATCTACATAAGTATTGTATTACTACCCTATTATAAATCAATAATAAAGCCACTCGATACAACTCTTGAGAATTTGCTGTTTGCTGTAATCACTATAACCAAGTCTCAAATATAAATATAGCTGAGACTTTTACCATTTTTTGATGCAATGATACCACCATATATATACAAGTGTACAAATAGTATAAGTATATGAAGCTGGCAAGTAAACAGCTGGGTTCTCCATTATGACAATGCCCATGCATCACAATCTTCTAGTTAGTAGCTAACTGGCAAAACACTAGATACTTGGCTTTCTTCCTTCCATATGACAATATCATCATTTACAATGTCAATACATTTACATATTGAAGGCATGTAAATGCCTTCAATAATGTCATGAAGGCATTTACATGCCTTCAGATCAGTACCTATCTACAACTATAGTGTTTCCTTTTGGCAACTCTAACTATTGGTTTCAATGGATGTGTCAGCTAGGATATCAATTCAGAACTGAGACATAATATCTGTAATAGGTTCTACTAAAGGTAAAATAAGCTTGATGTAGACCTGTTTGTACCAAATCTAAGATCTTTGAAGAGCATATCTTTGAAAATTCCCATCTTAAAAACTTATTTATGTCAGGTAATGAAAAGTTGACATAAGGTCTCTATGAGTAGTTAAGATAGAAAATATTTCAACATTTTTATTTGTCTTTGTTTCTGCTCCAGCATTACAGCAAAGAAAACATTACAAGAAATGTTTTCTTAACAATTTCCATTATTTCATCTCAAATAATTCAGCTTTATTATTTACATCAGATTACTAAACCTTTACTGTATTTGAATTTGCTTAGATTTTCTAAGGCATTATTAAAAATTCAAAATTTTAAATTCATACAATGAAATATTTTTACAGAAATTAATCAGATTGCTAATTTTTAATTATGACAAAACGGATGGTTCCAGATTATATTATTTCAAAACTAGATAAATTACACTTACAATAGCTAAATGCATCTATAAATCCACCTTGATAGTAATTTTTTTAATGTGAAAACTATATCTGTTCCATATATGCTACACATTTTAATGATGATAAACACTAATCTTCTAACTTATTAATTTAAATCTTTTTGTAAAATCAATGTCATTGAATAAAATACAGATACTTACCCTCATTGGATGTATATCACCATAAGGAGGTTTTCCTTCAGCCATTTCTAATGCTGTAATTCCTAAACTCCAGATGTCAGCTACACAATCATAGCCAATTTCTTGAATAACTTCTGGAGCCATCCAAAATGGTGTACCTATGACTGTATTTCTTTTAGCCATAGTATCCTGTTAAAATAAAAATTTAGCATTACTATTATTCTAGATATAATTAAAAACTGTAAAATAGCTTAAACATGTGACTTACCGTTAACTGACCAGCAACACCAAAGTCTGCTAACTTAGCATGACCCTCTGTATTAAGCAATATATTTCCTGCCTTAATATCTCTATGAATTTTACGCCTTTGATGTAGATATTCTAATCCCTTCAATGTATCAGATAATATCGTTGCTATTTCATCTTCAGATAACTAATAAAAATTAGATTATGCTTGTTTTATTCAGATATTAAAACAAATCTAATAAAAGCATATCTTTAATAAAAATAAATTATGTCAATGATAACTGTCTTAATAAATTTAATATAAAGAAAAGGATTATTTTAAATTATAAACTCTATAAGAACTCATTATCATTAAATACTTATTTTTTTAAAGCATAAATAAATCATTAATAGTTTTGTTAAATAAAATCTGCAAAGTACAAGTTGATTTATATCATATTCTGCAGGCTCAAATACATACTTTGTGCAAAATTTTCTTACAGTAACTACTTGGAATTTAATGATAATCACTGACTAATAACTAACAAAAAAGTAACATAATTAAATAAAACTACAATTAATAAAGAATTCCTGATATTAAAAGAACATGTTAAAATAAATCTTTTAAGATTTATATTTTTTAATTATTAAGTATAATTATGTTTTAAAGTGGATTGAATCCTACTTGGTCAATACTGGTGTATCATGCTGTGTCGTAATCAACATAGCATATCTGTCGATACTGTGAATTGTAAAACTAAACAAGCAAGACTCAGGCTCACTTGTTCAGTTTTATATGTTTATGCATTTCACACTTATGGTTTATTCCATACTTATGTTATTCCATATAGCTGGACAGCATAGTCATGTATAGTTGCTGTAAGAAGTACATTTAATGAAAAAATTATCATTTTCACTACTATCTTATGTATATTGTTTAATGTTTTGTAAAATGGATGTGTACAGAAAGTTATTGTTTGATGACATTTTATGTTTAATAAATGATAATTTTAAGTCAGAAATATATAGTTCTGGTGCTGAAATCATAGAAAATGAATCTGATTTAAAGCTCCATCAATGTAAATACCATACTATTATATCAGATTTTTTTTTTACTATAAAAAAAACACATTTAATTCTAATTTTTAAAACACTTTTTCTTTTTAATAAGGCCCATAGCCAGAACTTACTTTCAGGGGCTCATTCTTTAAATATAATAGATGACATCTTAACTGCCTTGATCTTCCAGCTATCATTTTTCTACTGACAGTAAGTTTGTTCTGTTCTGTTGTGATGGAGTGTTTTTTCTATGATTATGTCTTGGTCATTGTATATTTTGTATGTTTGCAGTATGGTTGCTGGTTGTGTAATAGTTTGTGTGTTTGTTGACAGATCCTCACAGATTTGGACATGGTGCATCTTCTGCTCAGAACTCAGGAGCCTGGGCACAAATTTTGCTGCAATAGAGCAATGTTCAATTCAGATGTCAAGATCACCCACTACATTCCAGGTGACACACTAATCTTGATGAAAATGTCCTTAATGGTTATCTGATGAACCTCATGCACAAGACATTGAATGTTCCAAACAGTTTTGGGGTTGTGCCCATGGAGGGTTGACCTGACCTTTTGTCATCCTCCAGTGATGTTCTGCCCCTTTTTAAGCATGTGTGCCACTGGAAATCATTGTCCAATTTATTGCTTAATCACCATAGGTTTCCTGAAGCATTTTAAGGGTCTCTGTTGACTATTTTCCCAATTTTACACAGAATATGATATTAGCTCTCTGTTCCAGTTTCAGGTCCATGATAAGATTGCAAAGACACACTAGTATATCAAAAAATTTCTGTAATACAATCTTTACCGAATGCAGCACATTGCCACTTTACACACCAACTCATGAACACAATGTGCCTCTCTTGCTACAGGCTCATGACTGCAGCATTCCCTTGAATCACTATAGACTTGGAAGTTTTTGATTGCACTTCATATTTATGACTTGGTCTTATGTTGCAAACATGAACCCTCCATCTCTCAGAGAGCCCATCCAACCAGCAATTTGACATAGTTCTGTCAACAAGATCCTGCTTAAGATAAGAATGCTCAACAATGAGCTCCTTCTGAGTTCACTGTATTGTATTATATCCAGGTAATATTGTATAGGTTTAATGGTATATTGTTTTTGCCTACAAAAGTTAAAGCTTACTAATGATGATATTAGTTTTTTTTATAGAAATACTCTGATATTTACTTATAATTATAATAAACATCAGATGCTTTACATGTTCCAAAACATGTAAATTCTAACAATATTATACAATTAAAAACAATAGCTGTGATTATAGTAAATGGATTCTACTGCAATTTGGAACATTTTGATTGAACAACAGTTAAAATCAGTGCTAAATAATATCAGAAGAATATAAATACTATGTAGTAACAATTTTTGTTAGTTCAGCATCAATTACATATATGATTATTGTACCAACATTTTTACTATATTATGCCTAACTTAATCAATGGTACATCAATAAAAATCTTTTGTAACATAAGATATTTTCTTATTTACACAGTATCATTCTTCTTTGTGCATCACATTTTCAAGATTATTTTATAGTCAATGGAAGCATTTTCAGAAAAAAATATTTAAGACAAAATTGTCTTATTTTGAGTTTGATCCAATTCTAAATTTAAAAATTTTATTTTCTTATTTAAAAAATTTAAATTTTGGCCTGGATAACCCATTTCCATAATAGAGACTCAATTTATTTATAAAATTTTTTAGAATTTTGGATGAAACTCACAAGTAAGTTACTTGGCCAAGGAAATAGATTAATATCCAGGATTTGATGTATCTGGAGTTGTGAAGAGGTGCATGATTGCGTTGGAAAACAAATGGTTAAAGACTACCCAAAAGCTGGAACTTTCTTATAACAAACAAGAGATAGACTTCCTTACTTTTTCAGCAAATAATTTTATTATAACACAAATGTTTTCTGCTTTATTTAGGAACCTGCTTCAGATTTTTTGAACAATAAACCAAGTGTTCCAAACTGCAACATTCTATTGTTTAGAATAATGTTTAAATTGCAACATTCTATCTTTAAATAATAATTTATTTATTAAAATTGTTTGCTGGAAAAAGTAAGGAAGGTGATCTCTTATTGGTTCTAACAAATTAAAATATGTAGAGTTCTTTTTTCTAAACTCTACATATTTTAACCTGGTGATATAGTTAAAGTTATTTAAAATGTTTGTTCTCTCAAATAATTTTTCATTTTATGCTGGAGTTTTGGTTTGTTCTTCTACATTGCTATCCAATTTCTGCATTATTTATATGGGCTTTTAACTGTCTGCTTTATGTTGTATGTCTCTCTTTTTTTCCTCCAGATATGACCATGCTCACTGAACATACTTTGATCATTAACAGAATTCCAATATTCTGGAGGTTTTCTGATGTATTCTTTGATCCATTTCAGACAATGCCTTTGTTGTGTAGCATTTAGCAATGGTTCTTTTTGGGTACTGCAGACTGGTATCCATGCTCACAGAATTTTTTAGGAACAGTTGATCTACTAATGATAATACCCTACTCTTTCATAAAATGCTTATAATATGTAATAGTACTGAAACATTGTTTTCTGATAATGAAATTCAGAATCCTATTTCTCTTGTGATGTGAATGGGAGGACAACTTCTTCCATTAACAGGTCCTGGCAATTATCCATTTCACGTAATTGCTGAAATGACTTTAAATACACTCTCTTAAGATATACTTAATTCTTTTGCTATAACAATTCTCTAACTTGTCTTCTTCATGATAAATGATAATTTGCATCTTAAGTTCAGTAGTTAGGCTCTTTGACCTCAAAAATAGAGAGGTTGCAGCTGATGTTTTCATTGCAAAAACGTGTATGTGAGACGTTCAGCACCGCCTTCCTGTAAGCCTAGAAGTAGCACAATGGCGTTTGGAACGTTGAGCATGATTCCACTGACGTTTTAGTTACCATTGTCACATATCTAGGTTTACAGGAAGGCGGTACTGAACATCTGACATACACATTTTTGCAATGAAAACCTCTCTAATGTCGGCCGCAACCTCTCTAATGTCTCATCAATATTGCACACAGAATGATAGATTGTAATCACAGACTACCATTAAATGATTTTATGCTAAAATGCAAAGGAATACTGTAGATTTATGCAAAATGGTCTAAAAGTTACAAGTGTGATCATATTCTATCATTTTGAGATAGCTTTGTTAATGTTCTATCTTTATGAGGAAACAAATATTCATGTCATTTTTTAAATATCCACAAAAATAATCATTATAATTATTATAAAATAAGTAGCACTTAGAAAAAGTAATAAAAGCTGACAAAATTTCTGTTGCAAACATATTATCTATAAATTCTCCAATCTAGTCTTCACCATTCAGAATTACTCTATCATTTTGATTTGAGATTGGGTTACATATTATTACTATGCAAATAATATAAATAATTTAAAATTAATTATTATAAAAGAGCTTCTTGTCTCAAAAATTGATAAAATTAAATCTCAAATAGTATAGTAGAGATAACAGAGTCTTATCACACCACTACTGATAACATCAAAATGGCACCTCTGTCCATTTTGGTACACAAGACCCTCATTAGCCATACATAAAAATATATAGATATCTGTTCAAGATTTATTTCCACCCACACTGCACAGTAGCATGAGGATTCATCATAAACAGGAATATTTCAAAAGAAAATCTCTTGATAAACCATTTTATAATTGATAAACCAATTCACATTACAATATCATGTGATACTGTAATGTGAATTGTAATCGTGACCACTATATAATGGTTTATCAAGAGATTTTCTTTTGAGATATTCCTGTTTATGATGAATCCTCATGCTACTGTGCAGTGTGGGTGGAAATAAATCTTGAACAGTTATCTATATATTTTTATGTATGGCTGATGAGAGTCTTGTGTACCAAAATGGATAAAGGTGCCATTTTGATGTTATTGGTAACAGTGTGATAAGTATCTACTGTAATATTTGAGATAGAATTTAAGAAATAACACTTTTTTTTATGTAAAAATCACAACATTTGGGAGAAAGTATTGAGATGATATTTATGAAATGATACAATCCTTGTTCAATCTGTGTTTATATATTTCACATATTTTCATGAAAAGCATTCTTAAAGTTAGAGAATGAAGTTTATACTTTTAATTTTTTCAAAAATAATTTGAAATAATTTTTTAAAATAATAATTTGTACCAAAAAGATATTTTAAAAAAAATCAATCTGACTTCGAATTTTATGACGTTTCTGCAAAATCTTAACTGTTTTCCTACTTTTTGACATTTTTTTTTATGATCTTTATGATACTGTTAACCTAAAAATTCAGAAAATTCTTTAATAAAGATTTTTGTGAATAATAATTTATTTAAAATCTTTTAATAAATTAAACTTAAATGAATTATTTTTCTTTAGATTTCAAAAGAATTTAATTTTTATTTTTGCTGATAAAGAAAAGTTTCATTACACGTTTGTTGAACAGTTTTGGCATAATCATTCTTAAAAGAAATACATATTTGAAACAGTAGGAATCTATATGAGAGCATACAATCCACAGATAAATAACTCATTAGTAGCAAGAAATTGCAATAACTTTAATAATACTTTTCTTCTTCATTTATTATAAGAATATTTACATCCTAATTAATAATGTTAATTATGATTATTCTACAAATTAATAAATTAATTCAACTACTTAGATTACTTACTGTTTTCTTTCTAAGCCTCATAATATCAGATACTGAACCACCTCCACAATATTCCATTACAATCTAAAAAATAAAAATAATAAGTTATAATAAATAATGTATTTTATATAATAAAAATTGAAAAATATGAAAAAGTAAAAATTTTATTTAACTACATATGAGAGTTAAATCTACAGCGATTGTATGTTCTCTAAACAGGAAATGACATCACATTTTTAAAACATCTTGTTTTATAAGCTTTAAACATGAGTAATAATAATAGCAATAATAATACTAATGACATAGTAAAGTAATAAAATAATTTTGTTACACACAAGAAAAAATTGAAATTGCGAAGGTCCAAACCTACATCATTTAAGTTCAGTGGCTATCATCTTATCAATTCGGCTATCACCATTACAAAGAGCGAAACTTCCAAATACTTATAAGCTAAACAGTCAATTTTCAGAAGCCTGTTTTTTTCGGAAACACTTGAAAAGTGGGTCCTATTATTTGGACAAGAAGCTGCTTATGCTTAGGGCTACATGCTCAAAAAAGTTTCATTCAAATTGGAGTCCTGAACATCTGGCCATCTCTCCTTGTTAGTTAACATGTATAATCCAATTTAATAGTATAGAGCTATTAGCATATACAGTACAGTCAAACTTTGCAATCATTTGTTCACCTCTAAAACTGAACTAAGTCAAGTATAGTTAGTGCTCAACCAAAGTACATCAAAACAATAAGAATTATATATAGTAATTAGGATTATAAACAAGTTTGGTTTGAGAGTTTGAAAATTATATGATTTGGTGATAACAATATTGTTTGTAATATGAAATTGTACAATATTATTTGTAATATGTGAACAATATTCTAATATTTATGGGGATGTCTGCTCATGAGTATCTGTTGGCACTATTTAAGAGTGCACGTCATTGAGATTGGACTATATTTTTAATATGCTTTTCAGTTATATTAATTGATCAATACTAGTTCAAAAATAGATAAGTAGTGAGCTGTAATTCAGTTTTTTAATGCAAATTCAAAAACTGGATCATAGCTCACTACTCTTTTCTACAAAGTAATAGTAGAATGGCCATGTTAATGTCATCAAAATTATTCAGAAGAATAAGTTGTCAAGTTAAAACTTGCAGTATAAAGCACAGGGGCAGATCACATTTAGTAATATGTATGCAGTTCATGATTCAGTTTCAGTAAAAGTTATAGCTACATATTCTCCAACAGTTATTGACTTACCTTCATACTTTATCAAATATTTAATATATGATTATGTGACAACAAATCTAAACTCTTAGATATCTGAAAGGATTTAATCGAAATTGCATAGATGATAAAAAGTGATATTATTTAATTAGATTATATATGTATATATGTNTTAATTGCTGATAAATTCATCAATTTATTTAAATCATCAATTAATTAATTAGTTATAATTCATAACCATAGTCAATGTATTTTACATGTATGTTATTGTTATTGGTAGTGTTAGATGTACTCTGTATAGTATTTTAAATAATAATTCAATTATGTCATTATTTAATTTAAGTATAAGATATTTAAATTAATGACAATATGCAAATCAACACATTATAATACTTGTGCAGTTTTCCTTCCCATCTTTTGTTTTATGTTATGGATTTATATATGAGTTTATTTCATTAAAAAGTTATTTTTTTAAAAATTTGTTACTATGTTTGATTTGCTCACATATCAATGGGTATAAATTAAGAATCTTTTATAATTTAAAATTCTTTTTTCTACAAAGAAAAACAAAAAAATAAAATAATAATAATAATAAAGTTTATGAAATTACTTTATTAAAACTCACCCATAAATCAGTACCCTTGAAATAACTTCCATAGTATTTCACCACGTATGGACTGTCACATTGTTGCATTATTGATATCTCTTTGATTATTTCCTTTAAATCAGTATCCACAGGTACTAATTTAATTGCCAACACCTGTCCAGATTCTTTATGTAGTGCTTTATAAACACTGCCATAACTCCTAAATGTAACAAAAAATTATGATATAAATTTTTTCTGTTAATCTATATTTAAAAACATTACAGGTAACCCTTCATATGTGTGATTTTGGTTAATAAGTCTATTCTGAAGAAAGTTTAACATTTTAAGCTCAACAGAGCTCAGAGCTAGCAATGCTAAACCAATCTCTTTTCCCCCCACATCTGCTCACTATTCATTAGCAGAAGAACATGAACCTTAGTTTTCCTAGTGCAGTACTCATGTTTAGACAACAATTTAATTTCTATTTTTGTATTTAGTGTAATTTCTGCAACACTTCTGTTTTAATTCTTCAGCTTTTACAGAAAACGCTATGAAGAAAAAAAAAAGACAGCAACTGTACAGACAATGTTTGATAAATATTTTGCTTGCTTTTTAAAGTTTTGACCTCATGTTTTTATTTTTTTTGGGCTACTTCAGTGGTTAATCTAAATCATTGATTCTCACCCATGCGCTACAAACTTGCCCAGAGTATTCCATGAAACAAATAAAAATTTTGTAAGTTTTTATTAAAATTTATTCCAATGTACTACAGTAAATTACTTTATTCATAGATGATTCCACATTTACTATTTTATTAAATACAATAAAGTTTACTTGCTTATTGCTTTATTGTTTTATGAGAACAGTAAACACGGAATTACTTTGATTTTTGAATACTTTGATACTAATGCTCTTTAATAAAAAGTATCTTAAATGGTTTTCTGCAACCTCAGAAAGGTTGAGAACCATTGGTTTAAACTCTGTAATCAATCTTTAATGTTATTTTCTGATTTTTGTGTGCAACTATACTATACTTTGGCTATAAAATCTTTAAGTAAAAATTCTTCAATAAATGTTTTTTTTTAATTTACTTTCTTCATTTTTCCTGTTTTTTTAATTCATCCAGACAAATATAAATGTAAAAGTTATGATTTCAGACAACTTAATGTATTCACAGATGAATTTATTTTCCACTGATTGTAAACTTTGATATATGGGTTTAGATATATGCTGTATATTTACAGAACCAATTAATTAAATAGGCCTATATCAAGGGTTATCTGTGATTAAAATAAATTTCTTTATAAAAAGAATATTTTACAAAATATTCAATACCAATAACATATATATAAATGAGTCTAATAATAATATTTTTAAAAATTAAAACTGACTCATTCTTATTTATATATACATATATATGGGACAGCAGAGTAATTTAAGCCATGTACTGGGTTGTTTGGAAAGTAATTTCATTTTTTTTTTACCACTAGACAGATTAGTTGTACTTTTTCAGCCATTTTCATTCTAAACCATATTATCATTATATATTTTGACAACTAGCATTTTAAGGCTTATTTGTAAAAAATTTTGCTTGATTTTGTGCAATTGTTTATTTTTTGTGTCCCATCAAATATGGAAAATCGAAAGTAGCATTTTCGGCATATTTTGCTCTTTTATTACAGAAAAGGTAAGAATGTTGTTCAAGCGAGAAAAAAAATTGTGTGACGTGTATGGAGAAGATGTATTGACAGAATGACAGTGCCAAAACTGGTTTACAAAATTTCGTTCTGGCAATTTCAATATTGAAGATGCACCACGTTCTGGATGGCCAGTTGAAGCCAATGAAAACAAAATAAAGGTACTGATTGAAGCAAACTGCCGAATAACAACACGTGAAATCACTAAGAGATTAAATTTGTCAAATTGAACTGTTTATGATTACTTGAAACAAATTGGTTTCGTTTCAAAGCTTGATATATGGGTTCCACATGTTCTTAAAGAGAGATGCTCTCTTTGGTGGGATTTTAAGGAAATTTTTTTTTGGAGCTTTTACCAGACAATTTAACAATTGATTCGAAAGTGTACTGCCATCGAGTAAACAAATTGAGTAATATCATCAAACAGAAAAGGCGGCCAGAATTGATCAACAAAACAGGTGTAGTGTTTTACCACGATAATGTCAAATTTCACACAAGTTTGGTAACTCGTCAGAAACTGTTATAACTTAGATGGGACGTGCTATCACACCAACCATATTCGCCAGATCGAGCACACTCAGATTATTACTTGTTCCGGTCTATACAAATTTTTTTTAACTGTAAGACATTTACTTGAAATGACAATGTCAAAAATCACTTGGATCAGTTTTTTGTAAGCAACGATCAAAACTTTTATGAATGTGAAATCATGCTACTACCAGAAACGATGACAACAGGTATTTGACCAAAATGTTCAATATATAATTCAATAAAATATTTATTTATTATAAAAATATTGTGTTTTTTCCCACGGAAAAAAAAATAAAATTACTTTCCGAACAACCCAATATTTTTCAAAATAAGTCTAAATAAAAATTATGGAATAAAACATGTTAGTTTCTGTTTTTTTCACTCACTTCTTTTTTTTTTTACTTGTATATTCAATAAAACTTACATAGCAGTTTTTCACCAGAAGTTACATTCAACAAGAATTGATGTGAAAGAGTGCCTCTTGTTGAGTGTGGCTTCTGAGAGATTAAAACAAAAAAATGCAGAGATCTGTATGTACTGAGAATATCAGAGAAATAATTTGATCAAACATCATAATCATCTCTGATTCAACAATAACAAAAATAATGAACAAAAAATAATTCTTTCTTCCTCTATTAAATAGTCAAGTCTTGTAATCCAAGTATTTTTTACTCAGTCAAAAAAAAATATATATTTTTGTATAGCTTGACTTTTTATTTTTACTTGTTACTAAATTTAAACACTTGTATTGAAAGATTTTATTGCTTTAGAATAAAATTAATAAATGATTACACATATAAGTCTAGCACCATTATTTTAAAAATACAGCTTTGCTGGTCAGTTTTTTAACCTGAATGTTAAGCTCTTTTCCTCATTGCTAAACAAAGTACACAAATAATGTAAACTTTATTTAACAAATTATTTATTTATATAGTGTTTTGAATAAAAAAACAGAAATTCCCAGAGAAATTCAATTTAAAGCAGAATGAAGAATCCCAGCATTAAGCTTAAAAAAATATCTGTTTATATTTGAATAATGGCTCTGAATAGGGCTTTTCTCTGTTTTAAATAGTTGGTTCTGTAGTCAAGTCTGTATGGTTCTATTTAAAAAACTGAAACTATTAAAATTATTTTGGATATATCTAAAAGATGAGATGACATGAAAGTCATACACTTCAAATGATATCATCTTAAATATTCAATCATCATAAAAAAAATAATGCAGAATATCAGGATAATCTCTTGAAGATCACCAAACAATGTTGCACCTAGACACCTGGAAATCTTGTCAACAGTATCAAGCCTTTAATATTCAATATGTAATTTTTAGATAGATAATTTCACTGATTTTTAGTAGTCATCTCCAGTTTATTTATTGTTACATGATATACTTACTGAATGTTTAATTTGTTTTTGTTACTGTGTTTGAAGTTAATGTTTTTAAGAATTTAAATAATTTTTTTCTAACTAGTTAAAAATATTTAACAGTAATCATATTATTATTATTTTTTTAATCTGTATATCTTTATATTAGTTTATGTTTTACTCATTTATTTTTTATCATATTTTAATTTAAGTATTTCATTTGAAAATAATTTTTAAATTTAAACCTTTATTGATGTTTCATGTCAATGACACATGAACCAATGTTCTGGAAGTTAGAATATTGAACTGTAATACTAAGATGGCAAAATAAGAGCAGTTGAAGATGTTTGTTTATCTTAAAATTATCTGGTATTGAAGATTTGATATTATTTTGATACCATATCCAGTTACATATATATTTTTATCTAGAAATATTTTAATTTCAAACATTAAACATCTTTTAAATTTATATATGAAAATTTAACTTTATGTTGTGTAATATGTATATTTTATAAGCTGTGTCTGTAGGTCAAATTTCCATTAAATTTGGATTATAAACCATGTTTTTCCAATGAGATATGTTATCATCTTTGAATAACTACATAAAATTACACACAGTCATGGGTGTCCACAGAGGGGGGGTAAATGGAAATGGGACACTTATCCCAAGGAATCAAGAAAAAATTCTGAAATCATAATCATAAAAATAATTGAGATATGTAATTCACCCTCAACCATGAGATGCTTTGTCTGTCTTTTTGTATTTGTCTGTTGCAATACTGTATTCTATAATCTACTTATGAAAACCCACAAAAATTAAATTATTAAATACAAATTCATTGTTTTAATTATTTTTGTCTCCAAGCTTTGCCCCACAGAAAATTTTCTGTGGGCACCTATGCAAACCATATATGCTTAAGTCACGTGAGAATCAGATTCAGAAATGCTAAAACTAAAAACAAATACCATAGTCTATATTTTGTTCTGTATATTTCAAAGTTTATAAACATTTGATATTTTTTTATTTGATGGAATGCTATTAAACAAAACAAAAAAAAAATTGTTCCTATTCTATATTGCCATTAAAAGTTTATTACAACTTTTAATAAACAATGTTAATATTAATGTGCAGTCAGACCAATAAATAATATTTTATGTCTCACAAACTCTGAAAATATAAAATTTACTGAATATAAAAATCAGAAATACACTCATTGTATTTTTTTAATTATATCACTAAATAATTTTACTTTATAAAAATTATGACACATTTAAATTTTTATACAATATTAAAAATATTATAAGAAACCTATAATTATATCTAAAAACTTCAATACATAATTTAAAAAGTATTTAGATATAAATTATTTGAAAGATAAAATTAAAAGACTTTAATTGCTAATAATTTAAATTCAAAGAAGTCAATGACACTAAATCACAATGAAACCAAGAATACTAGAGTCAAGTGCCAATAGGAACTAAAATATACTTTTCATCTTATTTTATCTTATCTAATAAAAGAAACAATGGTGAAATTGACTTTATAATATATTTTTTTTACTTTAATAATAAAATAATGACAATTTTTTTTTTATAAAAATGTAACTGTCATTAATTCTTATATAATCTAATCATTTTATAAGGAAATTTATTTTAAATTGTATAGAAATATTTTACCCTTCTCCAAGTTTACAAATTACATCAAAAACTTCTTCTGGTTGTCTTGTTAAGCTCTCTTCACTCAATTTTTTTAATTCACTATAAAATAAATTTTAAATAATTTATTACACAATTCTCAACATGTTTTTTTCATTTAGTAAATATTACAAATAAAATTATTTAATATGCAATTGAATTAAATAATTTATAAATATATATATTTTTTTTATATCATACATTTATACCCAATATCAGTTACTATAATTTGAAGTACAAAGTACAATTATTATTACTTCACAAGATATCAAAGCCAAATTATTTAAGGGTGAATAATCTTTTAGTAATTTTTTTTTCTAAAATAAACACGTCTCTTCTCAAAGAAATGAAACAAAATAAACTAAACTAAACTGTACTAGTGTCAACTTAAATACCAAGCAATGAAAAATTATATATATATTAACACATATTTTAATTGAACCTATTAACAATGTAAAAACATTTTAAACTAGCTAAATTAATTTTATTTACAGGAAATTATTACTTCTGTTGTATCAGTAAAAATGTTTAAATGCAGCTATTAAGTAAACAACAGAACTTCTCAGAAAAGATGACTAAATCAAGTGTCTGGTCTGACCTGTAAACAGTGCTTCTTAAAAATTTCCTAAATAATTTTTCTAACATTAAAGTTTCTACATTTAAATTATCAATTAACAATATATAAAATATATATACTGTATATAGCTGATTATTACTAATACTTTAAAAATTTTAAATAGTAAATATCTTTTAAGTTATAAATAAAATTTATAAATTATATCTTATTAATTTTTGGAAATGTTAAAGCATGATAAAAATAATTGTAAAAGCATTATTATTCAAAACAGATTACATAAATAGTCAATTTTAAGCTGGCTTTTAAAAATATATTTTTACCAACTTCTCTCATTACTTGCAGATATAATAAAAACTCATTCAAGGCAAAATTAAACTTTCTTTTAAAAAATAAATAAAATAAAAATTTTAAAAACTGATAAATAACATTAAAATAATTTTTATTTTTCAATACAATTTCTTGCTATAAAATTATTTCTGCAGCATGAAAAGAATTTCTCCATTATCTTCAACCAATTTCAAATAGTAGGTATCCAAAACTCCTAATTAATTATGGAGTGATCCAACAAATCATAAAGAATAAAACAGGTAAACCAGGTAAAGTTTTATCAGAATGATGATTGAAGCAGAAAATGCTAAAAAGCTGCGAGTTGTATTATCAATCAAAACAGAAATCTAAAAATATAGATATTAATGATTCATAGTATTACGAAATGAATTTTGTCTGATTAGCAAAATTATGATTGGTTATCATAAGTACAGAATAAAGTATTCTTCCATTCATTCAATAATGATTGACAACTTTACATTTCATTTATTTATTTTAAAAATTCTTAAAATAATGTCACTGAAAAGAAATAATTTTGCCTGAAAAAAACCCCTAAAAAGTAGAATATAATAAGTCAATAATTATATACTTACTGTTTACTTACAGATTTATATTTAACACAATTTAAAAGCATTTTAGAATAAATTCTATAAAAATACAATCTTTGAAGCTCAATAATAGTCTGTGGCACATTAAAACATCAGTTAATTCCAGTGTTATGAGGACTTGTTCTTTTAAAAAAAAGTAGAGATAAAAATCTGTTAAACTTTTAAAATAAAATCAGATAAAGATAAATAATATGTGCATAAAATGAGGAGTATATTTAATCTTTCCTTGTTATTATGTTGTTAGTAATTTTAATAATTTTAAAGTAATTAGTAATGTTGTTAGTAATGTTAGTCATTGTGTTATTATGTTGTTTTTATTATATTTCTTTTACATATCATTATTATTTTTGTATTTATTATTCTATCTGTAATTTTTTATTTTTTACATTAAAATATTTTAAAATTTCAAATTATTTGTAGAGTAGAATACATATAAAAACTAGAAACTTCCATCAAGTATGACAGAATACTTTTTATGAGAAAGTAGAAATTGAAGAATTGAAAAGAGATATAGCTTGTTACATCTTTACTTGCAATTAAATAATAGAATGTCATGTGGTCACTATGAAAAGATTTTTTTTAAATTTGTTATAGAAGTAACACAATACAGGTATCTTTTTTTAAAATTTGAATTTTAAATTTAATGAAGTAAGATTAAAATACGCCATTTGTCAAAATATTTAAAAATACAACTTAAGGGAAATTCCATTGTCAAGCATGAACTAAATAAGGTCACTGACATCACTAACATTAGTGCAATCACAAATCTGAAATCAATAAAACATTTATTCTATAGCTAATGTTTCTGCAAAATAAGTAGCCTATACTTTCTATCAGAACTTAAAATAAATAATACCAAAATTTGATTTGGATTGGACAAAAATTGCTGGAGTTATAAGGAATTCACACATAAACACACACATAGATGACAGCTTTTATATTATTAATACAGTATATAAATTAAATAAAATTCAATAAATAATTTTATTAAAAAGGATTTTTACTTTTTCTATTGAAGTATTTTCAGTTACAACAAATTTGTACAGACATGCATCATATATTTATATATATATACATATTTAGTACACTCTTCTATGATGTGCAAGCTTCATTATGAATTCTTTACAAAAACAAATAATGAACTTTAGTACAGTTAACACCACTTAACAGAGCATTGGAGAAAGGAGCAGTTTGGTTAAGAGAGCAATCTGCCATACTCCTGATTTTCTCACTATATTTTAATTTGCAGGACTCTGACTAACATAGCACTGGATAATAGAGCAGTCTGTTTAAATAAGAGTCATGTTGGTGGCATTTTTTTGAGCAGCAGCTTGCATAAGGGAGTATATTCTAAAGGAAAATTTATAAAAGGTCTATCTTTAATCTTAAGGGCATATGACAGCAGGAATCTATACTATATTTGTTGAGATTTGATGAAACCTTCCATTGGTCAGTTTTTTAATAATGGATAGTCAAGATTTCTTTACAGAATCATAATTTGAACAGGTTTTATGGGACACGTACAAGAAGCATTTTCATATTAAAACGGTATATATCGTAAAATATATATGAACAAATAATACAGATCATATGTATGTCCTCACAAGGCAAGAAGTGATTAGTGACCAGATTTCAGAAGTCACACAACCTTTAAGGCAGTATTGTACTTATTTCTTTTTATATTGTACTGTACATCTCATTAGAGAGCATTCAGAAATTTTGGAGCAAGAATGTTCATATCTTTTCAGCTAGGTCTCCTACTGTATTTCTAGAAAGAAGTAAAAGTAATGTGACTGGTAAATATATTACATTTATCAATTACTTGATAGAACAATAAAATTGATTATAAAAGAATGGCAACCAATACGCAAGTACAGTAAAATTATGTGATAATAAATTTTAACATTTCCAAGTGTGTTATAAATTACAGAATGCTCCTAAAACATGAAAAAGTGAAATCAAATAACATTAACACCATCCTGAATGATCTTGTTACTTTGGATAAGGGAACATGACACAGCAATCCCAAGACTATACTATATTTGGAAGATCAATACAGATTTACTACAAATATAAATTATTTAAAAAAAATAAAATTTTAACATAGTAAAATCTGTTTATTGTTATTGCAGATATTGTTATCAGTTGTGTAATGTTATCAGAATTATCATGTCTCAAATATATATGTTAAAATATACTATAAAAACTTTGCCTATAATCAGAATTCAGTTATAGTTATAGACAATCTTCAGATAAATATAGTTATATAATCTTCAGATAAATAAGCATTTTAACATTTTTCTCATATCATTGACTTCAATATGCAATTGATGATGTGCAATTATCATTAGTCTTGTTTTGTACTTTAAAGTTTAAATGTTAATTGTTATTTGCTCACAGTACAGAAGTTAAATTGTTGGCATTTCTTACTCCAATTATATGCAGAATGAATAATAATAAATCTTTAAAGTTATATATTTTATAATTGTTTTAACTTGTCTTTTTTAATGTCAGAGTCAATAAAACCAAAACATTTCCATTAATTAGTCTTATTTACATCCTTAATATTATCAAGTCAATTATTATCACCAATATAAATGAGTCCCAACTGATTACTGTAAGTAGGTTGTACTGTAATTTATTTAACTGAAAGTGTGATTTATGCTCTTTTTTTTAAACTTAAATTATTAAACAATTAANCAATTATATGCAGAATGAATAATAATAAATCTTTAAAGTTATATATTTTATAATTGTTTTAACATGTTCTTTCAATACGATAGTAAAAAAAATCAGAATTTTCACTAATTGTAATCTTATTTACTTATCCAGCTTAATGTTATCATTCAATTGTTGTTGCCAGTATAGAAAAGTTACAAAATGATTACAATAAATTAATTCTACTATATTTTATTAACTAAATCATATATGAAAACTATTTTGATAAGCTCAGGTGCTTTAAAAATGTATACAAATAAATTATAATTTTATATTATAAGAAACTACTAGAAAGATTAAAACTTGGATGCTGGGACACCTGATCTGAAAACATTTTTGTGATAAATTTTGGATTTCTTTATAAGTAAAGCTTAATTTTTATATCATACTATAGACATATGACTATTCTCCAAGTCTATTGATTTAATTTAAAATGAAATTATGCATCTTTTTCTATACTTCATATACAAATAAAACATTCAGAAATATGAAATGAGCCAAATCTTAAGTCTTGCTGATTATTCTCAAGATTAATCTCTTCTCCTAATGAACTACAAAATTCTTTTTGCCAAACTTCAAATTTTCCTTGATATTTTTAATATTGTGCTAAACTTTTTCATTCAAAAGGGTAAGTAATTTCAGATCATGAGATGTATGAAACTCTAAATTTATAGTAAGAGGATACTTTGATAAAAAATGAAAAATTATATGTACTGTACTTTAAAATATTAATTGCACATCTACAGAACTCTTAACTTTATTAATTTTAGAAAACACACAAAAGCAATCTCTAATCTTGATTTTATATTACTATACATGAAATAGTTGAATCA